AGTTGGAGATTAGGAATTCAAACGAAGGGATCTGGGCCTTCAGTGCTCTAACAAGTGTTGGTAACTCAGATGGTGCGTGTCTCAGTGCTGAGCACATTGTGGGCCTGTGACAGTGTTAGCACACCTAAACTGCAAAGAATGCAAACCAGGCATGCTGAGATCAGCAGCCACCTTGGGCATACTGAGCCGCACATAACTGGGAAATCAGAGACAGGAAGAGATTGCAAAGTGATGCATTAATGTGGGTTACAGTCAGTATTTAAACTTCAAGACCACTTCAGTCATTCACTACTCCTATCAGTTCGTCCATGAACATTTCATGGGTCATGATTATGGCTTTAAGATACATTTATTTATTGATTCACATGTCTGATTTCACCTGGCCAATGAGGAAGACATAGAAACAACTGAGTTTTGAAGTAGAGCAGTCACTGATTCAAAGTCCAGCTTTTCTACTACTCCTTGAGCCTCAGATCCCTTACCTAGAAAGGTCATGTCTGGGCTCTGGGCTCTGGGCTCTGTTATCTTATTTAATCCTTACCACAAACCAGCAGACTGTGGTGAAGATTAAACAGGATAACACATTGCAGCCACACAGTAGACTTCATACAAAGGAATGTCTCAATAAATTAAAATTGTGGTCAAAAGGTAAATGTTTCATAAAATAAAACACACCATCTTATTAGTCTCACACCTATGCCAGGGAGAGTGTAATTAGCAGCAAAACCAGCATCTCCTGTGCAGTAAATAAACATAGTGGCCCCTGCATGCTCACTCCTGCGCTGTGTGGGCTGGAAAAGTGCAGGCTCTGAAGAGGTACTAGGGAGAGCAAGAACTAGCATACCTTTCCCATTAGAGCTCGAAGCCAATAAAAATATAGGGAAAAAGTGTGTAAAAAGAACAGAGGTGACTTTTTAATTTATAGAGGCTTTAAGATGGTATCAATCCATTGCAATGTGCAGGATATATTTTGGTTATGATTCAAACAAAATGCCATAGAATAGGCTCCCAAGAAAACTAAAGACGCTGATGTTACTAAGCAATTATTTGATAAGTTTTTGAGCTTGACTTTTTCAGTACCTTTTCTACATCTCATAGAGATGTATATTGAAATATTTACAGACTAAATGATGTCTAGGTTCAAGATACTGGAGAAGAGGGGGAATATTGAAAATATTGATAAGATTAGTGATAAGTTAAAGATGGCTGAATCTAGATGATAGGTCTCTTGTATTCTTTCATTATATATGTCTGAAGTCTGAATTTTCCATAAAAGATTTTTAATAGATTTTTAAAATCCTCTCTTTCTCCTTTTCTCGATAAGGACTCCCTATAACCCCATCTGGCCTGTAACTCATTATATAGATCAGGCTAGCCTCCATCTCACAGAGATCTGCCTGCCTCTACCTCTGGAGTGCTGAGATTAAACGCCTGTATCACCATGCCAGACTTAAAAATCATCTTTTCTTAACTGATAAAGATGAATTTGGAAAGTGTGGTTTATGTGTGCCAAGCCCCTGAGCTAGCAGGCTCTGCCATCCCATTGAGGATGAGCCCTGACATCAACAAAGTCTTGGTAGACCCAACCTGGAGAGCATCTCTGGGTTCCCGAGTTCAGTTCCTGTGCAAATCTTGCCTTTGTCTTTGCCCTTCTAGTCCCTCCAAGTTTAGTCAGCCATCTTACAAACATGGATCCCAGGGAGATAAAGACAGGGCACAATCCCCCATCATACGCTCTGTAAGGGAGGGTAGGTAGAGGGGAATCCACAGTGCTGCCTTTGTACATTCAGGTGGTAAGTGGAAAATACCACTTACAAAGAGATTCTGTTATTTAGGGGGAAAAATGAAAATTAGTAGAAATAAAAGTAGTAAACTGAGAAAATAAGGGCCTGATGGACCAGTCAGAGAGACCACATGGAGAAAAAGAATAAAATGCAGAAAGAAGCTAGCAGCCCCACAAAAGCAATGTGAGATAAGAAGGTGGGCGCTCTAACACTTATCTACAGCTGCCTTGCTAATGGGTCCTTCATATAACGTGATGCATCACAAGAAGACACGTCATAGCGTCAGAGCTTCAGGTGATCTGCTTGGCTCTGTCATGGGAGAAGTTCTGAAAAGGATCCGGGCAGGGCTTCAGCGGCTAACTAATAGAAAGATCTGGGAGAAATGAATTTGAGCCATGTAATGGATTTGAACATGCAGTAGATTTGACTATGACTACTGTGTGGAGTTGGTGCACACAGTAAACTATCCAGTGGTGTGAACTCTATCTCACCTGTTCCCTCTCCTGGCATTGCTCTCCGAGAAAAAGAACTAACCTTGTCCTAGTTACTTTCTATTGCTGTGATAAAATGCATCCCAATAACAGTTCAGCACTGAGGGAAACCCAGCAGGAGCCTGGAGGCAAGAGCTAAAGCACTGGCCATGGCGGAAAGTTTCTTATAGGCTTATTCCCCTGGCCTGTGCTTAGCCTGCTCTCTTATATAACACAGGACCACATGCCCAAGGGTGATACCACCTATAGGGGGCTGGGCTCTCCTACACTTAACAGTCAAGAAAATGCCTTGCAGACACTCCCACAAGCCATTCTGGTAGAGGAAATTCCCCAATTGAGATTTCTTCTTCCCAAGAATGTCAATTTGACAATGGAAGCTATCCAGCACAAATGACCCCTTGTCAACTTGACACACAAACACCTTACTACTAAACATAACATTTCCATATCTTGTCCCCAAGATCTCATGTTAATAGTAATAGCACAATATAAAACATAGCATATCTTTAAAAGTCCCACGAGTCTTTAAAAATAAAGTATTTGAATTTTTATTTGTTTACTTTTTCTTTTTTGAGTCAGGGTCTCCCTGTAGCTCCAGCTGGCCTGAAACTTACTATGTAGACTAGGCTAGCATAGACCTCACAGAGATCTACCTGCCTCTGCCTGCCAAGTTCTGGGATTAAAGGTGTGCACCACCACACCCAGCTACTCAAATACTTTAAAAGCTCAAAGTCTCTTTAAAAAGTCTCTTTACTATGGGCCCCGGGAAAATCCAAAACAAGTTACATACTGTTTTATTTCAAGAGGGAAGAACCAGGGCTCACTTAAGCAAAACCACAGTCTAGTAGTGTAACCATTTGGGATTTACTCACGATCATCTGGGCTCCAAAGAGCTTGGGCAGCTCCACTTCTCTGGCTCCACCATCCTCAGCATGCACAGCTTGTCTCCTACACTCAGGCCGATTCCACTCCACACCTGCTGATGCCCTCCTTGGTGGTCATGCCACAGTGCTGGCATCTCCAATATGCTGATGTCTCCTCTGCAGGTGAGACTACACCTCTCCTGGCATCTCAGGGTGCAAAGCCTCAGATTCTTTCCATGACCCCTTCAATTTTACAGCTTCCATGCTGCCAAAATCAGTGCTACATGGGAGACTTTTACTACCAAAGTCTGCTTCTAGCTTGAGATGCAGCTGTGTCCCCTCTGGACCACAGCTTCTCTGTGCTGACCCTGAGGAAATACTTTCCAGAAGATTTTGCCTCAGTGATGCTGGTCTCTTTTTACTCACAGCTGATTTTTCAGCAGCTACCCAGTGTCGATTGTCTCAGTAAAGCAAAGATTTCACTTTAGTGGTTCTGGTCTCTTGTTAATCACCGTTGATTCTTCAGCCCCAGCTGACCAGAAACCACAGATTCTCAATTCAAAATATCACAAACAGCCCTGATAATCTCTGCTTCCCTTGAAACTTCATAAGCCTCCATCATCCACATTTCTCTTAGCAGTATTTCCCACAGAATGGCTCAATAAGTTCTGAGCACTCAATGATTTCTCAGCCCAAAGTTCCAAATGCTTCCACAGTCCTCCCCAAAGCAACATGGTCAGGTCCATTAGAGCAATAGTCAGTTTCCATCCTAGTTAGCTTCTCTACTGCTGTGATAAAGCACTTAGACCAAAAAAAACCTGGGGAGGAAACTTGGTTTATACTTCCATGTCAGTTCGTTATTGAAGAAGGAGGAACTGAATGAACTCAAACAAGTCAGGAACTCAAGTCAGGAGCTCAAGCACAGACCACAGAGGAAGACTCTCATACTGGCTTGCTCCTCTGGTCTGTGCTCAGTGTGCTTTCTTAAACAACCCAGGACCATCTGACCTGGGGTGGCACCACCCACAGTGGGCTGGGCCCTCCCACATCAATCAACAATCAGGAAAATGCCTCACAGTCATGCCCTCAGGCCAATCTGGTAGAGGAAATTCCCCAATTGAAGTTCTCTCTTCCCAGCTGTGTCAACTTGACAACGGACGCTGTCCAGCACAAAGCTGTTCTCCAAGTAGCCTGTGTTGGTTTATAATAAAAACCACTCCAGCAGAACTGGGTTCAAGTTTACCTCCTGTTGTTCTGATAAAATGCCCTGACAAAAGCAGCTTAAGGAAGGAAGGGTTTATTTTGGCTGAATTTGAAGTGCAGTTCCCTGTGGTGAGGAAGTCCTGATAGCAAGAGCCTGAGGCAGCAGATCACATTGTGTCCACATCCAGGAAGAAGAGAGTGGTCAGTGTTGATCCTCAGCTCACTTTCCCTCTTTTATGCAGTCCAGAACCCCAAACAAGGAATGGAGCCACTTTTTTTTAGGGTGGGTCTCCCCACTCCATTAACCTAATCAAGATAATCCCTCATAACCATGGCAGAAACTGTCCTAATCTAGATAATCTCTCCCAGAGGTCTGTCTCCTAGATAATTCTAGATCCTGTCAGGTTCACAGTATTGATCATCACATCTCTGAAACCCAGGAAACTGGGCTAGGTAAGAAGCAGGCTGTCCATAGCTTGGTCACAAAGAGGGTGCCAGCTTGTCTCCCTGGCTCCTTAGTAACACAGCTCAACTTCTCCCTCTGAGATGGGACCTCTGGACTAGGACAGCAACCAGTACAAACAGTAACAGTATAGACTGGCACGGAGTACGCATTCTATTGCTGTTCTTATTTGCTGTCTCTCCTCTCTGGATTTCAGGTCTATGAAACTGTTGGGCACAGTAGTACCACCTTGCTAGCAGAAGTGTTCCTGCCTATTCCAGAGACCACCATTGTCACTGGACGGGCTCCCATGGAAGAGGTGGAGTTCAGCAGTAACCAGCACGTGACACTGGATCACGAAGGAGTTGGAAGTGGTATGCAAAACTGACTCAGTCAGCTCAGTTTCACTGTCAAATTTGAATAGATCTTTTTTTCACTTTTCAGACAGCCAGATAATTATAAAATTGATATCAAAAATTCAAAAAAGACAGGTATAGTGACTCACACCTGCAATAGTCAGGAAGCTAAGGTAGGAGGGTTGCCACAGTTCAAGGCACAGGGTAAGATCCTTTCTCAAAAAAAAAAGGGGGGGTGCTGGAGAGATGGCTCAGCAGTTAAGAGCACTGATCGCTCTTGCAGAGGACTTGTGTTCAATTCCAAGCACCCACATGTTTGGCTAACAACCTATCTGTAACTCTAGTTCCAGGGGAATCCAGTGCCTCTTCTGATCTCTGTGGGCAGAACAAGGGTACACTTACACACATGCAAGCAATATCTCATACGCATAAAATAAAAATAATAAATAACTCAATTTTTTTCATTACAACAGCATTGACATATTCAATTACAATTTCCTGATGTATCTCTTTCAAAATTGGCTATAAATTTTTAGGCTTACAGTTGAATTATTACAGTTATACAATATTGTACTCAGTATAAACCCTATAAGACATAAAATTACAGAAGTTTTAACCTTTAAAAAAGATCTCCATTTCATTATTAAAATACACAGTTTCATACAGAAAAATTCATTTTTAATGCAATTGACATTAAGATGTTTGCACATGCATTTCTAATCTCTATATATCTGATTATTACTAGTCACAGTCAGTTACTTTTTGAGCTCCTTGGCATCTGAGCATGGATATAAAGTCATCAGGTAGATTTCAATGGTAATGTTTTTCAGATCTACTAATTATTAAGGAAAAAAATTTTATGCTTTGAAGAATTACTATTTTTTAATCATTTTTAAAATTTTTTAATAAATACATGATTAGAAGAAGCATTTCACTACAGCTTTAACATATTCAGTAACACACTCCAGAGCAAGAGTACATCTCTTTCACAAGTGGCTGTAAGTTTCTAGGTTCACAGTTGAATTAATACAGTTATACAATATTGAACTCAGTATAAACCCTGTAAGACTTAAAATTGAATGAGTTTTTAACCTTTAAAAAAGTTCTCCATTTCATTTTAGACTATATTGTTTCTTGCAGAAAGACTCATTGTCTTTGCGACTAACACTGAGATGTTGGCGCATGCATCTCTAATCTGTATGTATCTGATTATTACTAGTCATAATCGGTTGCACTTGGATTCTTGGTGGCTGTGTATGTCTATAAAGTCATCAGGTAGACTTCAAAGGAGGCCAAGGAGACCCCACCAGATGGACTTAAACCAGTGTCCAGTCTACGAAGAGGAGGGTCAACACAGAGGAATCATTTCCTCCATGCTTCCAAGTGAAGCCAACCATGGTTGAGCAGGATGTTTAACTTTTCTTCACATAGGCAGAACTGGTAAAAGAAAGGAGCCAGGGGCTCCTCCTAAGCCCATGTGCCCCCTGAGGAACAGATCCTCCAATGACCTTAAGAGTAAAAATAAATTGGGATTGCCAAATAGTAACCCAGCACAGAACTGGGAAAATGAACAGCAGACCCCAATATTATCCAAAGGAATATAGACAACTGATTACTGCAAGATGAGGAACAGCTGACCTTGCTAAAACAAAGACCTCTAGATAGGCTGACTAGGTTCACCAGAAGGGCAAGTAGTGGCGAATGGCTGGGGGTGCCAACAACACAGCAGACAGTAGCAGGGATATCAGAGTATAAGAGATCTAGTTGGGGGAAGGAGGCTATGGGAGGGTGCAATCTGGGAAGTGGGTGTATAGTTGAGTAAGATGGTTTGGGATATTCTGTGTGATATACACACACACAAATCAATGAATTTTTTTAAATGTATTATATTTAAGGGGGAAGCATGGAAATTTACATCATGTTAATTAGTAGAGGTGATAAATAAAATACTTTTTATAAAAGAAAAGAAAGACGTATAGAAAGAAGGGCCAATAAGATAGTTCAGGCATTTGCTGTATCTGACAATATGAGTTCAATCTCTGGAGCCCACGTGGTGAAAGGAAAGACTTAACTCCTTCAAGTTGTTCTCTGATCTCCATACCATGCTGTGGCACATTCCTGACCCCCTCCATTAAATAAATAAATGTAATAATTAAAAAAAAAACAGAAAGAAAAGGAAAAAAATAAATTAGGGAAAATGACAGTGATCCATGATGTTTTGCTGTTATGTTTTTATAAGTTTTTGACAATTTCATACTTGATACTGTGTTTCCATCATTCCCACCCTTCCCAGTCCCCTCTCCAACTCCTCCCATATCCCCACACTCCCTCTTCTTGTCCTCTTCTTTTATATATATACATACACTGACACACTGAGCCCATTTAGTGGTGCTCGTGTGTAGTTGTGTTCAAGGATGACCACTTGGGATTGGGAAACCTGTAAGGGAATCCATCCCTCCGGAAAACTGATTCTCCGTTCCTCTGCATTGATTAATTGCCTGTAGCTCTTCATCTAGAGCTGGGACCTTGTGGCATTTACCCTATCCACACTGGCATGGCCACTGGTGGTCATTATACAGCTCTTCTTAGGCAACAATATTGTGGAGATTTCAGGGGTGCGGCTTCCCTTTCATGTCTAGAATGTGTTACCTAACAGTAGGCAACCTCTTCCTCTGGCTTTTGCAATCTTCCTGTCTCTCTTTCCACGGTGTTCCCTGAGCCTTAGGTGTGGGGGTTGCATTGTAGATGTATCAGTTAGGGCTGGGCACCCCACGTTCACTTATTCTCTGCATTTTGACCAATTGTAGATCTCCTTAATGGTTTCTACCTGTTGCATAAGAAGCTTCTTTGCTGAGTAGCGAGAGCTACACTTGTGAATATAAGGATAAGTATTTAGAACATAGTAAGAAATTACATTGGTCTAGGAAAATAGCAGAAGTAGGTTCTTCTCCAGGGTCTACGACCTCTCCAGCCACGTGTGCTTGGCTATGTTTACAGAACTATATGCATAGATTCTGTCTTATTGAGAAGGCTTTAAGTAAAATTAGACAGTTGTTGATTATCCAAGATAGAAGTGCCACTATTGCATCATCAAGGCTATTTTCCTGGATCAGTCATTGCTGTGGTTTGTAGGCTTTACAGCTAGGTGGGACCATTGATTTGTTTTCCCCCTTGACAGCTTGCATAGCACCTCTGATAGCATGAGAGCTGGTCCTCAGGGAGGAGCTTCCAGGTCAGTTCCAGCTCAATCACTCCAAGTCCTTTGTTCAAAGGACTTGTCTTCAGCAATAGGCTCTTCCCTTCAAGTACTAGGAGTAAACCAAGGGTTATGACAATGTTATATTACTTTAGGAGTCTCTTGGACTTCCCTGACCAAGAGCTATAAGGAAGCCTTCCCTTGCCTGGCACTGTGATTTTTGTCAGGTAGCCTTCAGCTATATACAAGTCATAATTTTTTTAATAAACTGTTACTCCCTGGGTGTGGTGGTGCATGCTTTTAATCCCAGTACTCAGGAGACAGAGGCAGGTGGACCTCTATGAGATCAAGGCCAGCTGGGTCACATAGTAAGTTCCAAGCCAGCTGGGGAGACAGGAAAACCCTTCATCAAACAAAACAAAACAAAACAAAAACCTGTTACTACCCATGAAAGTGTGTATGACAACACAACTATAAAGCAGTTTGGAGTGTGAATTAAGGAGCCTTACTATGCCCTTTGATATTTTAATCCCACTTCTAGTGACCTTTCATAAGGAAATAATTTGAAATGAAAAATAAAACTTTGTGCATAAAAAGATGCATCACAGTTGTATATACTTACAAAGTTAAACGATAGTAACTTTAATAATTCGACTATTCATCAACATTCTAAACTCTAATAAGATGTGATGGACCGTCTCTGTCCAGCATGTCTACTAACTTTGTTTTAACTGATGTGATGATCTTTTTCATTCACTAGCATATGTAATTTTTTTTTAATCTGTCCTCTGAGTTATGAACTCACTTTTTGGCTGTATCTAGTCATCAGAATTCTTCACTGTCTTCTCCTTCTGCTTGTTGTAGTTTTCAACTCTAAAACTTCTGTTTTGTTCTTTTCTAATCAGTTTGGTGAGTTCTGACTGGTTTTCCCCTTTGTCCTTTCCTTGTGCTCACAGTCATTCTGATTCCTTTCCCCTTCATCCTCAGTCATCCATTTTCATTCACTCTGTTTAAACATATTAAATCTTCAAAGTATCCCCTCTGATCATTCCAGTACCAGTCTGTGTATTGATCTAATCTGCTGCCTCTTACCCACAGAGGCTCATTAGTTCACTTGTCTAGGTATTTTTTATCTTCAGCTTATATCTAAAATTTCAACTGCAGGAATTTTTTAAGGCATAAATTTTAGAAGTCTGGAGACCCACACTTAGTTCCAGGTGGGACAGTGACAAGCTGTGACTTTAGAGCCACTCTTGGAGCCTCTCTGAACTTATCTTCCTCACTCATAGTGTGGACCTGGTGATATCACCTTCAATGTTCCAGGGAGATCATTTGGAGAGACTGAAAGTCTTTTAATATGAAGAAAAGATTTGAGAAACACAGAGATGTTGTTACACTGAAGCAATGCTATTTGTCTTGTGTTAGTAAGAGTTAGTGTTTGAAAATCTTGATTATTCCTGTAGTTAAACATACTACACAGAGAGCTTTTATCATTAATTTCCAGTTTGTGGGGAGCCAAAGCAGTGAGGTCTGAATGCAGCCACAGCAGCTGCCAGTTGTTTCACTAAATTTCCCCCTTCCTGCTCTCTGTTTGACCCGCCCTCACTCACTCACTCAGGGTCTGGTGGTCCTGATGCAGATCCTATTTGAATTTTGCATAGTTTATATGACATTTGGGAGGGGTTGACTTACAAAGATATGGCTTCTCATTTCCATGCGCCATGCAAGCCTGCCCATAGTCTCCATCAGCCTTTGCATCCGCACCCTCGAGTTGTCTTACCCCACAGTCTGCCTCATCCATGCATGCCAACTTGCCCCACGGAGTTCACATAGGGTGGCACGGGCTGGCTGGCCTCCTGCTCCCCGCTCCCCGCTCCTGGAGTTCCAACATGGCCACTAACTCTCTGCTCACTCTCCATCCCGCTTATCAGGGTGCTCCTCGCCTCGCCCCTGGTTGGCTCACTCTTTTCGGAGGAATGAGTAATTTTCGGGCTACACCAGTACTTTCCGTTTGCCCATTACCTGCTGAGCCATCAAATGTCTCTCTATATCTCACTTCCTCTCTCCAGCCACTTATGCAGAAGTCACTTCTAATCAGGCTTCCTTGGCCAGCACATCAAAAGTCAGTGCTCCTGCCTGTGCAGGAGTGTTGCATGAGGCAGGCTAGGATGACATGTCCCACCCCCACCCCCACTCCAAGTTGCACCTGTCCACCATTTGCATTTTCTCCATATCGTCCCCTCTATCGCCCTCCTCGGCACGTCTTGCTCCCTAACATGCTAAGTGTTTCTTTTCCATTACCTCTGTTACATACACTCTAATACAAACATTGTGAGAACAGAGCTCACTTTAAAACAAGTCCTACCAGTTCACTTGTTTCATTTCTTTTAATTCATTTCAAATCTTTCTTTGCTGCTGACTTCAGTACCTGAGATAATGCCTGAAAAAAGTAGATGCTCAAAAAAAGTCCTGAATGAACAATTCATGACTCTGAAATACTTCTCAAAAGGATATACTCTTGTTTTCCCTTAAAAGTATTAAAGATAAGTTCAGAGCAGTTAAGCAATTTTTCCAAAGGTCACACAGCTGCAGAGTGGCAGACCAGGATACTGCTGCATGGATGGTGTACAGAAAGCTCTACACTCAGCTGTCAGAGAGAGAGCCACCACTTATGCAGAAGTCACTTCTAATCAGGCTTCCTTGGCCAGCACATCAAAGTCGGTGCTCCTGCCTGTGCAGGAGTGTTGCATGAGGCAGGCAAGGATGACGTGTCCCACCCCCGCCCCCACTCCAAGTCGCACCTGTCCACCATTTGCATTTTCTTCATATCATCCCCTCTATCGCCCTCCTCTGCACGTCTTGCTCCCTAACATGCTAAGTGTTTCTTTTCCATTACCTCTGTTACATACACTCTAATACAAACATTGTGAGAACAGAGCTCACTTTAAAACAAGTCCTACCAGTTCACTTGTTTTATTTCTTTTAATTCTATTTCAAATCTTTCTTTGCTGCTGACTTCAGTACCTGAGATAATGCCTGAAAAAAGTAGATGCTCAAAAAAAGTCCTGAATGAACAATTCATGACTCTGAAATACTTCTCAAAAGGATATACTCTTGTTTTCCCTTAAAAGTATTAAAGATAAGTTCAGAGCAGTTAAGCAATTTTTCCAAAGGTCACACAGCTGCAGAGTGGCAGACCAGGATACTGCTGCATGGATGGTGTACAGAAAGCTCTACACTCAGCTGTCAGAGAGAGAGCCAAACAGCTGCTTCTGTGCAACATCCCTTGAAAATGTCCCATGGCCTGGGCTAAGATAATGTGTTCCATCCCCTACCCCACTCCAAGTTACACCTGTCCAATATTTGTACTCTGGCCAGGCCTGGATTCCCTCCTTTCTAAACAGCATCCTGTTGACCTTGATGCTCCCTTAGGAGTGCCCTTCTCCTTCGAAGCTGATGGCAGCAATCAACTGACTCTGATGACCTCAGGGAAAGTGTCCCACAGTGTGGCGTGGGCCATTGGAGAAAACGGCATTCC